CCATTGGCTTCTAAACAGAGCCAACATGTGTTCTGTTCTTTTCTTCAGTTCAGGGAAAAACATTACAGTTATGTGATGACTGTGTAATACAGATGCATGCAGCAGATTGAAAAAATGCTGCTGCATTCTTTTAAATGGTCATTATCTTGGAAATTTTAAGCTCTGCACTTTTTTTTTTTAATTAAAGAGTTAAATATGGTATGTTACACAAACACTACAGTTTCAAAAGGTACCATCCACTCCCTCATCCATAGAGTGCTTAAATAGGAAGCTCCAAAACAGGCCGTTTTAAATCCACTGTTTTTGCGATGTTGGGCGTAACACAGAACAAAGTAACGTGTAACAGTAATGAAGTAGTAAGTAAATAAGTAAAGTAACATATTACAGATTAAATTATCACATTACATTTACTGACATAATAAGATTTCTGTTACTTGCATGTCTGAGAACATTGGACCTCATTCTCCAACCATTCTTAAGAAGAAATTTCCACTTATGCAGTTTCCACGAAGATTCTGACACCTATGTTTTATCTGGGATTTGTTCTTAGGTAAGAATAGAATCTACACACACTCAAGAGCCCAAAGGACAGAACAGTCCTACAGTTTAAGAACACATCATGTGTCTGACATAGACTTTCTGAAGACTTCTGAAGATCTTAGGACCTTTCTTAAGAACAAATTTAAGAAGTAACTTATAACAATATTGATTAATGAGGCCCAATATTACTTTCACTATATGCATATATTTCATTTGTATGTAGCATCCATGCCTGTCCTGGTGCAGAATTGTTGCATGCATTCTATTTCAGCTGACTACAGCAACTGTGAAATATGAGCAGTGCAATGCAAGCACAGATGTAATAAGTAATCCAATTAAAGCTGGACAGAAGTCATTTGTAAAGGATTACCTTTTTTGAGTAACTACCCCAACAGTGGTTATTCAAAACAACATGTTTACTTATGACTGCCTATTCATGTTAAAGCCATAAGGAGTGTTTCCGCCTGGACAGCTCTCTGAATGAGGCACAATTCGGGGCAGCCAATTCAGAACATAGCTCATTTACACATATCAGTCTTCCTGTTACATCTCTCCAACAGCCCATTCTTTTATATATGTGTTTTGAGTGAATATATTTTTTGTTCTTTCCCACTCTTAAAAAGATGGTTCTTCAAGGGTTTTTCTGTAAGTCCCCTTTGCATGATTAAACAGTTCTTTGCATCATGAAAGCGTTCTTCAGATTAATGGAGAATGTGCTGTATATGGTTCTATATACCTTTTAAAAAAAGAGTTCTATATAGCACCAAAAAGGGTTCTTCTATTATTACAAGCTTGTATCGTAACAATAGCAGAACACTTTTTGGTGCTATATAGAATGTTTTTCAAAAAGGTTCTATACGGAACCAGCTACAACACATTCTCCATCAATCTGAAGAAACTTTAATGATGCAAAGAAGCCTTTAATCATGCAAAGGGTTCTTTGAGTGTTCATGATTCTGTATAGAACCATTTTCTTTAATGAAGAACCCTTGAAGAACCATCTTTTTTAAGGGTGACAGGGAAACAAGTCAACATGTTAGATTGAAAGAGAATTACATAAACTATTTGCAGCTAAAGGGCTTTAGAGAGCTGAATGTCCATTTTGGGTAAACTGCCTTCCCTTACTGAAAAACAAGGAGAAAAGAGACGTGGGGATGCTCAGAAATGTTTCCTGGGTAGAAAAGATCCAGAGTGTGTGATGGAGTTTCCTTATAGTGTCAGAGCTTTGGCACAGAGGGAAGAGCTTTGGCACAGAGGGAAGATGAGGTAGAGGGGAACTGGAGGACAGCAAATGCTCTGATATTTTATAAGTATCAAAAATAAAAACATTCTGGATGGTTGAGACAGCATCTGACCGTAAAGTATGATCAATAAATCCATCAATTAATCAAATTCATTTTTTGTATAGCACTATTTTATACAAGCAAATGTAATTCAAAGTGCTTTACACATCATCAGAAATAAAGGTATGAAACTGTCTCTGGGGCAGTACCCTCTTGTCACTGGGGTGGTACCCTCAGGGGTACATATCAGTACCTTTAGTCAGGGAACATAATTGTACCATAATCCATTGAAATAATATTTTCTAAGTTGTATCGACTCCACACACCCCGTCTCATCTCCAGGCTTTTTATTTTATTGTTCTGTTTTGAAACATTATGTTATGAAAAGGTAAAAATGCATATTTTTCACCTGGAAAAACTTATTTAAGGTTCACAATTGGGCCTTAAAACCACTGTTGCACCTTTGAGGGTACATTTACATTATTTGTACCTTGATGAACGAAATGAACGAATGTACCTGCACAGTACCTTTATTTCTTACAGTGCAGACTGATTTTCTGAAGCTGAGAGAACAAAGACAACAAAAACATAAAATGTATGCAATAGCAGTAATAATATAAAATAAAATAGAGTTTAAACAGTTTAAACAGAAACAAATAGTAGCAACATAAAACAGATCACTTGGAATAATACAAATTACAAATACAATAAATAAATAAATAATAACAATACATAAGAGGTGACAATGCTCCTACCCACCCTCCTACAGCTGATGCTGCTGTGTTGCATAAACAGGTTATTATGGTGTGAATTCTCTGGGCTGTTTTGTCCATGTGGTGAGAATCAGTGGTAAGCGCTACTAATCACATCAAGTGAATCTATAGTCCAGTTAAATGGTAAGGATTTGGGTTTTGTCTGTGAATTCTAGTGGCAAAATCACATTTAGAGCTGGCACAGTGCTTAGTCAAATTACTAACTGTACATATGGGAAATGCCACTGAGCGGAAGCAGATGTTTGGACTGGAGACAGGAGTGGCAATGAACGCAGATGCATCCACAGCCCTCCAGGTTCCCATGGCTACATCAGATTTACGTCCGAATGCTCATTTACAGCAACAACCCCATTCATACTTAAGTAAAGCAAACAGCGGGTTTAAAAATATAGCTGGAACTGTGGGGGCTGACATCTAAAGGGGGGATTTTTTTTATTTCTGCATATTTAAGTCAATGTGATGTAAATGAAATCATTGGTTTAATGGGAACATGGTACATTGTGGATAAACATATATATGTTCTTTATAGTGGTAGTGATGGGAACCAGGGGTTGTGATGTTTCCAACACAAATATAACCATTTTATTTACTATCCAAAATTACCAGTAAACCTGCACATATCGTCTGGGTTTTTATGTAATGTTGATACTACTTGGCTATAAACGCCCTGTATGAACCTCTCCACCCAATACGGAAATCTGAAACATGGCAATATATGGATTTCAAATATATCATATATACGTTATATGGACAAAAATATTGGGACACACCTCTTAATCACTGAATTGAGGTGTTTTTTTCAGTCCTATTGCAACAGGTGTATAAAATCAAGCACCTAACCATGCAGTCTGCCTTTACAAACATTTGTGAAAGAAACGGTCGTTCTAAAGAGCTCACTGAATTAAAGTGTGGTACTGTAATAGGATGCCACCATTGCAACAAGTCAGTTGATGAAATTTCTTCCTTCCCAGATATTCCACGGTCAACTGTGAGTGGTTTTATGTATCTTCTTTGTTTCTTCCACATACTTCCTAATGAAGTGAAAATTAGTATAATAGCTACATAACTACACAGTAAAACATGCACATTATAAGCTATGCAATTAAAATTAAAATATTAAATAAATGAAAATATTGTTCCCTGACAAACCTGAATATTAAACTAATGAAACTAATCCGATAACATATTAACAATTATATCAGACATGTATTTGTAATCCATATATTATGCATATTTGTCCAATATTCGATACCTATACATATATACACAACATATATGTGCATAAATTTTAAAACATAGGCCTGACCTGTTTTGACATATGTGCACATATAGCCATATGTCAGATTTCTGTATGGGAACTACAAGTGTCTTTTTAAAAAATGCAAAATGGTTTTAAAGAATTAGAGAATTATGAGCCTGTTGGTAAAGCTATTGTGAAACAATGTCTGAGGCATCAGGCCATAAATTGTTAATCAGACGCTTCAGATGTCTGCTTTCCTATCACTACCACTGTAAACAATTCTGACTCAGCACATTTATCGTGAGCATTTCACATCAAACCATTCTGAATGAATTTGCTTACATGCAAACTTCTTCACAAATCTGTGCAAAGTCCCTTTAATGAAGCACGAGCTCAATGATAAAAAATATTCTATACACCAGTAGCAATCAGTGGAACGTGGAATAGTGCAGTTCAGTAGAAAGTTTAGGTGATTTGTTTTGCCTGGTGTCTCTTAGTGAACTTGAGCAAGATTTAAAATAGTACACAAGGCTCGTCATATTGCCCAAATTCTTGTCGCCTCCTGAAGTCCAGCTCCTGGTAGTTGGAGCTCCAAAGAACACCCTGCTGAAAAAAGACCATTCGAACCATTCGGATTATAATCTGATGGCTCTGCTTTCTAATGGGAATTGGATTCATGGTTACCATTAGAGACCACTAGTTTCCTGCAGGACACTTTTCTAAAGATGCTGGAATTTTACATTTGACACACGAACGTGAAGATATGAAGGCAAACTTAAAATGAAACGAGCGTCACCCTGGAAAAGTAACCGCCAGAGCAGCATTATTTGGATGATTGTAATATTTCCAGGAGCAACAGATCTCATCGAGTTTAGTGACAGAGTGTTCGATTCAGTTTAACGTACCGATTCTATCGAACTGTCAGTTTTAACGAATCGAACCATTCACATATTAACACAGGAACGGAAATTGGCTACAGCGTAGCCAGAAAGCAATGTTCGCACCGTGTTCCGGTACTTTTATATTTTTTGGGGTTATATTATGAAACATTGGGATTGTATTGCAGCCATTCAGCTCGTAGCACGTGCTCTGGTATTGCGTAAGTGCTGCAAGAAACTGATTCAGTTGGACTTATGAATCGGTTCGGCTGACTTAAGGACAAGAACGATTCGTTTGTGAGTCGGACACTCGAGCTCCAAGCAGCTCGGCGATCTGTTAGCAGGGTCTGGGGGAAAGGAGTGGGACTGGGAGCAGCTGTGGCAAAATGTCCAACTAATCTCGAAAGAAAAGCCAACTTACGCAGGAGGAAAACATTACAGCCCTTTCACTGAGAGGGAAAAACGAGACGAGTGTCGGAGACTAGGGCGTAAGTGCGCATCGGTTCAGAGAGCGACTCGGAGCGTTTTTTTATCGGAACTCACTGGAAAGAAAATAACAGCCACATAAAAAGAAGACTGGCGCACACACTGACAATAAAAGCGCACATTCCCGTCAAGTGGACCGCTACCACGACCTGGCGTTTACGGGAAGCCAGAAAGGTTCGTTATCTTTCCTTATTGTCTCGTTTTGGTGTTTCTGTGTACATCATTTCGGAGCAGGCTTCTTATTTTCTCTCTCTCTCTCTAAACTCGAAACTCAGGAAACAATGAAGACATAACTCATCAAGTGTGCCCGTCAGCTAGCCTGGCTAGCATCGTGTGTGCCGTGGGACTAGCCGGAGCTAGCTAACGTTCAGTTAGCCTGTGAGCTAGCCGAGCTAGTTTCCCTCAGGAAAGTTTTTCCGCTTTAACAAATACTTGGAAACAGATTGGAAGAGGAACTTGAGGTTGAAAGCAGAGAAATAAGGGCAGGCTCTCTTCTCGAGTCACCCTCAATCCTCTGCTTTTCATGGACGCGGAGGTCAGGAACGAAGAGCGGGGCACCGTACCGTCAGGGACCGGGGTTGGGGTTACGGACGGCAGCAGAGGGCCTGACTCGACCCACTTTCCGTTTTACCCGAAAACTAGCCGGGTGCGGGTGAGCGACTTTCGCCAGCAGCCCTCCCGCACGTCCCCGGACGGGCTTCCCGACGTGATGATTTACCCGGTGCCCGGAGAAGAGCTGTCGGCCGCGGGGAGTGGCGGCCAGCCCGCGGCTCATGGATCAGGGAGCTCAGGGACTGCTGCTGGGGGAGGCTGCTATTCCCCCACCTCGGAGGGACCAGATAGCCGGATGTCGCCCACTTCAGCCGGCTCAGATGGGCCTTCTGTCTTCCCCCCACTGCCTCCACCGCCTCCCCCACCTCCCGGCTACGGGGCACACGGGAGCGTGGACGAAAGCGACCAGCAGGATGGACCGGAATACGAGGAAGAGGAGGCTGTTTTCTCCCTCTCTGCGCCACCTACTAACCAGTAAGGATGTTTCTCTTTCCGGTGTGATAGTGTGGTTGCTTGAAATGATTTCAGTCTGTTTGGTCCCTCAAAACCTCCTTGCTCTTCAAATGCCTCTTTACACTCTTGAGAAACGACCCAGTTCACACTTAGCATTTCAGAATTGTCGTGTTTAAAGAGAAAACTTCATTGCATGACACTTACATATTGTTTAATTTTTGTCTTCTTAATAAATAGGCCCATAAATAACAAACAAACATGTTATCTCCTGCCATCCACACTCTAAACCGTTGTGGCGAGTTTCAGTGACCCATGAAGATTTGGAGAAATGCACAACTTCGTAAGCATAATGATCGGTTAGAAAGCTATGCACGCTTATGAGGTTAGGGATCATCTTCCATTCAGCTGACTGATGTAGGCCCACCTTCCTAAAGTAATGTAAGGCCCAGAACAGATGTGCTGAACCTGCTGGCTGATTAATTCATAAAAAGTGAAGTTTACCACAGTGATGATGCTCTGTTGTGTAATCAAAAGCCACCTATGATAGTGTGGTTTGAAAGGGGTTCAGTTCGGCCTCAAAATCCCCAACCATTCATATCGGAGTATTGCTCATTTCACTCTTGCCAAATGACCCAATTAACTCTTGACACAATTCAGAATGGCTGTGGTTTATAGAAAAAGCGTTACCTCTGCGCTTGTCTTGGCTGTGTATCCATTACAAGGCCTAAACGACACATCAGACAACATTATGACAGTTGTGAGCATGCTGGCTATTCTTGGTTAAAATAGCCTCTTCTTCATTCACCAAACACTGTATGTATTTAAAAACTGAAGCCTGCACTATTTAAGGAATTCATACCAGTGTATGATATGTGCATGCTGAAGACACATATGACTAATACATGTACTGTGCACTAGTTGATCATCAGGCTTGCAGACCAACAGCAGCATACTTTTTGTTTTTGTGGAAAAAGAAACAGCAGTAAGAGCTGTGTTGCATCGCTCAGTTCCTGCTGTAGTAGACGTTATGTGTAACCTGTCACACACAGGTATTTTTATGTGGTAAAAGGCAAAGGTTTCATGAAATGCAGTATGAATATGTTTCCAAATGACGTCAATGGTTTGAGGTTTATCAGTGCACCAAAATAGTACTGAAATGAGTAATCATATCAGAAATACTCCTCACCGAGCCCGGAAATGTTAAGCGATACAAAAACCTGTCCAAACCGAGTGTTGTGTGTTTAAATGTGAGACGTGATGATGACTTGCCAGTGATATGGAGATGTGCTTCATTTACACATGCACGCTGTGATACTCATTTTTGTACAGTAATTAGATCAAAACCAGTGGGTGTTTTTGGTAACATACAAAGGGAAATTAAGTCCATCTTTTGAAAACTGACCAAGTTGTACCTTATTCAAACTAAGCTAATCCATTCAAATTTGAGACAGTGTTATTTTAGGTTTAATATACAGTGCTGTGCGAAAGCTGTAGACGTGTAACAAAATATTATATAGTCATTTTTCTGGCTAGTAAGGACTTATTTGTTAAACACAAACATTAGAATAAATACCAATAAACAATACATAGTGATTTTGTGCGTGTCAGTGTGTTAGCTTAACCATTTCCAAAGCTCTGCTTGAGGAAGGCCGGTATTTACAGTTACCATCAGATACCTGCTTCAGCTAACCATTCCTTTATCAAATTAAATCGTGCTGCTGATGCTTTACAGATCCATTCATTGGTGGAATGCACTGAAGTCAGGAGCAAAACCTGTGTTCCTCTAATTGTTGTCTTCTAACAAAAGAAATCAATTTACTGTTTTTATAAAAGTTATGTTTTGTTGTATCTATATCCATTCTAAATATATATCATGTTTTTACAGACAAACACACACTTATTGCTGCCTAGAGGCCGGTAATCACCAAACACAACGCAAATAAACGGCACAAAAACGTGCAGATTTGCAAAAGTTCTTTTGGAGATGGTAGCCCCCCCGTGTCACAAAGCAGAAGGCAAAGAGATTCTTTTCACGTTTGTCCAAAAGTCTGAATTGCTAAACAGAGCCGATTGGTCATATTAGTTGTTGCTGTGCCAACACTGTAACAACATAACTGGTTGCATAGAAGAGTTCGTGTTGCCACTGAAAGTTTGCAGAAATTTAACAGAAGCCAAATTAATGTTGCATTTTCACCTCCTAAAAAATCCTGCTTAGTGCGCAATATATTAATCATACACATTTTCGAATTAATTCATCAACACCTGTTATTCACACAAATTAATCTCATGTATTTTGCACAGTTCTGTACTTATGATGTTTACTGCTTATGGCATAATATTATGTATAGTATGCAGAGTTATATAATGTACCTCACATGCCCGCAGAATGTACTTCATTTTCTGATTTTCAACATTAAGTCAGCTTTCAGGAAGCCACTGTCATTAAATGAGCAGCATGTTACATATTGTTTTATTGCTTACAGCAAGCAGATTGCATGTCCCAGAGGCTAACTACATTCCCAAACCAAATGTCACTAATTTGACCTCAGCTGATTGCTAGTAGTGCATGGGACTCCACTAAGTGCTGATGCATGACAATATGTGATCAGGCATGTATCACTGTCTCTGTGTGCTTTACTAGTAAAGACTTGATCTTAGTGTTGATAGATGATTTCATTTCCTGGAGCAATTTTGTATTATTAGGAGAAAGTCCAGCATGTATTAGATTTTTGTTATGACTGCGTGACAGATTCTCTATATGGATGAAGAACGAAGAAAGCTGACAAATCGTAGCAATACAGGATGTGGAGGTGGGACTTTATTCTCTGTGCCTTTCAACAGTGGACCACAAGTGCATGCATGCTGTGTACAGTCATATGCAAAAGTTTGAATACACCCGGTCAGTTTACGTGTTTTGTTGATTTTCTAAGTGAAAATAAATTAATACTCCTCTACAAAAACGAACTTAAACATGGCATTTTCTGCAAGTTTTAGTTCAGTTCCTTTTGTTTTCCTCTTGAGAAAAAATCTATATATAAAATGTTCCTTAACTTTTGCACAGGCCACATTTTTATATACTTTCCCAATACCTTAAATTCAGCAAAGAAACAATAGTCATGCAGTAAAATTGTGTTCTTTGTAGATGATGTTCACTTAGAAATTCAACAAAACATGTCATTTGTTCAGGGGAAACCAAACTTTTACATACGACTGTCTGCTAGTCATGTCTGCAGATTTTCGTCAAATTATTTTAACTACATTTTTAATAAAAACTATCTAGTTATTATTTAAACAAAAACAAATTATGCAAATCTAAGGCCAGCCACGATAGAGAAGTTTTATTTTGCGCCTAATTTTTCATTTTTCTAGATCAGAAAAACATTGTTTATAATAAGTAGCCGTGTAAGTTTATTGCAGTGTGATGTTCAGTGATTGCCTGAAAATGCCTGGCAGATAATCATGGCAACACCAGATAAAACTAAGAGATTATAAGTTATTAAACACAAGATCGATAACAAGGCCTTTGCCTGCCAGAGAAGGATGAGGTTGAAGTTGTGCCAGTTTGGGGGGAAAAAAAATCTCTGCCTTGTAAGGAGTGACATTCTTAGACTTTATTGTACATTGTGAGCAATTGGTTTTCTGATTAAAGGCAAATGTAGGGATACACTTCTTTAAGCTCCTCCTTCCACTTCTGAAATTCTTCCTGACTTTTCACATCAATATGGTCTAAGTGACCACAGTGTATATAAACTGGTTGTCTCAGTTAATCATGATCTGTTGAAATTGTCTTGTATTTGCCAGATTTATGAAAGGAAGTAAGTGGTCCTGGTCTCCTCAACATCCAGTTCGCCCACTACTGTGCTCCTGCACACGAGTGTCCAGTTAGTCACTATTATGGAATGTGTGTTTGCTCAGTAGACTAGTGACCCAAATAAGGACGAGGGTGCACTTGCGGCTGATAGACCCTGACAGACATGGTTGGCAAGTTCAGGAAAAGCCTGGCTGCATTCTGATACTCGAGACCAGAGGTGCGCCATAATCTCACACTTCAGCAGTCATGCAAACCCAGCTCTAAATCAGAAAGCTATCAGTAAAAGGCTGTTCTATATCCATGGCCTGTATCTGTGTACAGATAAGGATATGGAACAGCCGTATTTGTGGTTGACTGAAGACTCGATTCACCATATTTATTATTATTATTATTATTATTATTATGTTTTTTAACCCACTGTGTTCTAAATGACAACATGAAACACACTAGCACAAATCCAGAATCAAAGTTGCTAAAATAGACTCATAAAAATGCATCGATGCCAACATTTCAATCCCCGCTGTGACATAAGCTGGAGTACACTGCTGCGCCAATGAGCAAACGCAGTGAAGGAGGCTCTGATCACAAGAAGTGTTGCTGACTCTGTCAGTTGGACGCAAAATCACTGGCTGCTTTAAACATTCCGCCCTGGCAGATTCTCACCCGACAGGGACTGTGTGGTTTTAGCCAGTTTCTTAAACACCCACAGTCACAACTGCTTCCCCAATATGGGTGAAGACATGAAGGCCAGAAAAACAGAGAGGCAGAAGAGTCGACGTTTTCTGCCAAAGACGGTCTATGCCGACTTTGCTTTGTGTGACTCAGTAGAATTACAAGGTACAAATGTTAATACTGTGATGCTGTCCTCCACTGGAGCGCTGTATGATCCAAGATAACTAATGTAGCGTAGCTAGCTAATGCACTTCATTTAAAATCAACTAGATTTGAATGATCTAATGCTTGCACTCATTTACACTACCAACTTAACTCTAAATAGTTTACTCAGTATGGTATCAGACTGCTGATTTTTTTATCTTGTCTGATTCTGATTGTGCTTCCTTTACTAATACTCCTTTTTAAATTTATTTATATCCTCTTGGATCATGGAATCTCAGATTTCACCACAATTACATTAAATTATTTGTTAAGATTCAGAATTATTAAAAGTAAACTGAGTACACAAATGTGACTGGAGGGACTACACAGTATA